CCATTAAAGTTAGCTTCCTCCGCCATTTGGAGACCAAACAATCGTTTCTTCAAGTATAGCCTACTTGTCAACGATTTCGACTTGTACCGGCTCTCCAGCTTGTCCCAAATATCCACCGGGTCCGTCAAACCGAGAACCTCCCGAAGAGTATTATTTGCAAGGCATAGGCATATTGTACTTGTTGCCATGTCCTTCAAATCCTCCCACTCTTCTTCCGACAATTTTTCCGGTTTGTCGTTCTTCCGGTGTTTGGCCCACTCAGCATCCGTCATTTTTTCTATCCTCTGAACCTTCACCTTCAGAGCTTTGATTGTCCCTTCCCGAGTAAGAACGCTTTTTACTCGTTGTTTCCACAGAGTAAAATCGCCACGTCCATCAAAAGGTTCGACGGAAACATTCGAACTTTTTACCGATGCCATTTTTCAAGTTCTCGACTTTCTTCTCTTACCGCTTAGAAATCCCTCCGCCCCAAATGTAACTTGGCTCCGATACCAATTGTTGGGATTTTAAGCGCGTAAGATACCGAAAAATATTGAGAACACCAGAAAAATGAGAGAACAAACACAAGGAGAATATATGAGAGAAAAATTATATCTTCACTATTTCAGAACGATACACAAAAAACTTCCCTGTTTACAAGTGCTAAATACCAGACACTTTTAAACAGACTTTTTAACACCCTACACCCGGATGTATTTTTCCGAGTAACTAAAACCAATTACTCCCTACACTCACTCACACAATATTGGTGATATCTTGTGTAGCACCTCTCTCTTCACACCCTTTCCCTCTTTTCTTCTCTCTTGGCCGTGTGTCAACCCACACACAATTATAAAGAAAAGGATTCCTCTTATAAGAGGTGAAGGCCAAAAAAAAAACATCTCCATCCCATATTCCCATTATTTTCGTACACCACCAAGAACCAAGAGAAGGAGACAACTCCACTTCACATGCATGGGTCCACTTCACATGCATTGGTGTGTATGCATGCATATTCCTTTTTTTTTCTTTTTAATTAATCAATCCCAACAAATAGTCCTGATGTGAACACATTTAGATTTTAATTATACATTTTTATTTTCAAATAGTTTAGGCACAATTCAATTTATTTTTCACAAAGTTGAAAAAAATGAAATTGGTTGGTTGAAATTTATGTAGAGAAATGAATAAATATTTTTATACTTATGCATTTCTACGTTAATATGGTTATTTTCCTAAAAAAGTTAATATGGTTATGTACGTCCGCTAAGCGTTTGAAAAATGTCTACATATAATGTCGTATTTATGGAGTGAATTTTTTCTCTTGTGCCCTTTTCATTTTTGTTAAACTAAAAATAAAACAAACTTATTAGAAATTATATGTTCGATAGGTCGACATATATTAAAATTTCACCCACTCTCCAAAAACCTGGGTCTCCCATTGCCCTGTGAGTATGCATAATTGTTTTTCATTTTTTGCAATTTCATTTTAGAGATTTTATATTTATTTTTTATGAATCGAAAGTGTCATTAGCAACAAAATGAAAAATTACTTTTAACAATGAAATGAGCATATTGCTCCAAGTATATGCAAAGTAATAAATGCTCAGAATAAATACGAATTACGTAAATGTGTGGCTTATAAATTTTCATATGTTAGATATATAAAAAACAGAGTACTTGATTTCAAATGGAGAAAGAAGTAAAAAAAAACTATACTTTTAATTCATAAAGGGTAAGGCTAAAACCATTTCAAATTTAATGATGTAGGGCAGAAGAATGGGGTAAAGAGGTTGGAGAGAATTGCTTTGGAGAGACAGATCTAATAAAGAAGGAAGGATACCAAGGAAAAGGATCAGATCCCAAAATGATGAAATTGGTTGAGGAAAGCATTGAAGAACTAAAGCAAAGAGGCTTAAATGTGGGACTGATTAACGTAACTCAGCTATCAGAGTATAGGAAAGACGGACACCCTTCAATATATAGGAAACAATGGGGTCTTTTAACAAAGGAGCAAATCCCAAAGCCAAGAACTTATGCAGATTGTATCCATTGGTGCCTTCCTGGAGTTCCTGATGTCTGGAATGAGCTCCTCTATGCTCAAATTTTAAATTAGATCCTATAATATAATCCAAAGCAATAATTAACATTAACACCTGTTTAATGAAAAAAAGAAATCGATAAGATTTCAATTTTTAAAAAAAAAATGTTAAAGAGGTTTAAAAAATTTATGATTTAAAATTTATTTTTCAAGTCTCATTCGGCAAGTGTATATAACTACAAGTAATCATCTCACATACATCTAAAAATTGGAACATTATCTATTTATTTAAATGTCGACTCATTTGTAGTTTTTGTTATAACCTTTTGAGATGTACTTTATTTTTAGCATCGATTTTTTAAAGTGTGCTGTATTATAAGAAATACAAAAGCTATTGCATGTATTTAGTTTTACATATATGTGAGTATTATAATTTCCTAATGCACTAGTTAAGATTATTCAAACATAATTTTATTTTACAAATATGTATATAAGCTCTATGTATTAACTCTCTTTCCGATCTGGCTATTCTTCCGAATTGTATATGGTATCACGAGCATTCCCTCTAAGGTATTCTTGACTTTAGTTTTCCTCTTCAACTCCCATTGGAGTCTTATACCCTTTGTTTTAAATATTACTAGCTACTTTTTCACGTAGGGTCAATTTACAATTTGAAAAAAACTTTGTGCAATAGAATTGAATACACCTCCCACTTTTTTAATTAAACTTATGAGAGCATCTCTAATCATCCTACTTTGGCTTGCTAAAAGTCATAATATAGCAAGTCAACCTATTTTTTCTTCTCCAATGGGTGTGTTTAATTTTAACAAGCTTCCCAAAAAATGACTTTGGCTTGTTACAAATAACAAGCTCTTCAAATTATAGAAAGCTAAGAGTTATAGAATGGATTAGCAAGCCATGGTTGGGGAATGCAACAAAATATCACTTGCTATGTCATTATTCACTTGTTAAAATATAAAAATAACAAGTCAATATGATATACAAGGTTGGAGATGCTCTGACCCCCAATTTTTTTGTATTAAGTCGACTGGNAAAAAAACTTTGTGCAATAGAATTGAATACACCTCCCACTTTTTTAATTAAACTTATGAGAGCATCTCTAATCATCCTACTTTGGCTTGCTAAAAGTCATAATATAGCAAGTCAACCTATTTTTTCTTCTCCAATGGGTGTGTTTAATTTTAACAAGCTTCCCAAAAAATGACTTTGGCTTGTTACAAATAACAAGCTCTTCAAATTATAGAAAGCTAAGAGTTATAGAATGGATTAGCAAGCCATGGTTGGGGAATGCAACAAAATATCACTTGCTATGTCATTATTCACTTGTTAAAATATAAAAATAACAAGTCAATATGATATACAAGGTTGGAGATGCTCTGACCCCCAATTTTTTTGTATTAAGTCGACTGGTCAAATGAACCCGCATCAAATTTGACCCCATTGTGTGCATTGAATTGGCGGTATTCCCACGTGTAAACCAAATTGCGTGATGATGTTAAAAATTCATGTATTCATCTCTCTCTTTTTAAAGTATTCAAAGTTTTGTAATACATTAACATTTTATTTATTATTTGACACTACACCCATAAGATAAAGGCTAGACATGATCTACTTGGGTGTTAATTCAAGTTTTGTGAAATTAGTTCCACTTGGCTAAATATACTACTCCCCTTAACCTATATCCTTAAGAAATTATTCTTTCCATTAGACTTCAAAAATGGAATCTGAATGCTAGTGGACGGGTCGCGAAAGAGGCGCACTAGGCCTGACCTCTTGACGCGGTATGCAATGGTATGCCATGATCCTACAACATGTGTCTAGGATGATGATATGATGTTATGAATGGTATACTACCTTTGGATTTAAGTGAGCATACTTGACTTATGATCCCGAAGACTTATTTTGAAATATAAGTCTCGGTTTTTAATCCATATTTCAATTATTGATTCTTACCTTGAAAGCACTTTGTGTTTGGATCTTTCTAAAAGTTCAGCAGCCCTTGATAATCGATTATCACTTGGTGATAATCAATTATCAAACTTTAGAAACCTCTAATAATCGATTATCAATTCGTGATAATCGATTATCTAATGTTCAGCAGCCTGTGATAATCGATTATCAAAGTTCAGCAGCACCTGATTGTAGATTATCTGAACTTGACAATCTATTATCACAGTACCCGGGTTCTACTTTGGTCTGTCAAATTACGTTCAACCTTTTGAAAATTATAATGAACATTCAAGATTACAATATATCCATATATGTAGTATCTATTCATGCAAACAGATTGATAGGTGATTTCTTTTAACGAGTGTCATACAACATATCTTTATAATGAGAAAACTACGATCATACATATTCAACGTAGATTATCCCAAGTAGTTGAGCATATAAAATAACAAATACACATTTGTTCATACATGTAAAACACATATATTTTTGGGCATGGATTTACATGTTCATGTAATCGTCTAAATGTAGTCTAGGTGTTTCCCAACGTTTTCATTTATATATCAAATTTATACACCTATACGTATCAAGTGATGCTATTACGATATTCAATGATATTTCCTCAAGTCTAACCATATTCTTCATGATCTAACCATTCTACCACTTTTATTTCAAAATCCTTATTGTTTACGTTTGAATCAAACATCCGTTTAGCCTTGTATAACCATTCAATTTCATAACGGTTTCTAATCCTCGTTGTTCTCTACGGAACTTTAATCGATCAAGAACATAGCATGGTATGAATCTATATACAAATAACCATATAAACAACAAACGTATTCGCATATAAATATATTAAAGATTCCTCCGTTATATCTAGGGTTGTACATACCTCGAATACGATATGATTATCTCGACGCTTGAATGAACCAAATGAATCAACAATGTCAACGAATGGTTGTCAAACTATTGAACTTCCGACTTCCAAACGACTTCTTGAGTTTCGGTTTCTTCTCGCGAATATGTTATAGGGGTCGTGGAGAGTCCCCACGCACCAAACGAATAGCGGAATGGATGAGATGGAACGAGAATGGAGACGAAAATTGCAAAACTCGCGTTTTCCATCGCCACTGGACCAGTTTTGGTAAAATGGCCGTATCGCCTTCGTTACTCGTCCGATTTACAAACCGTTTGCGGCTGTAGTTCACAAACTCGCAGGGCTACAAGTTTGGTTAAGGAACCACGACCAAACACTGAGTTGAAGATGGTCGAAATCCTACCCAAAGTGGACTGACTGGATTTTGCTTCCAAAACCAACACCTCCTCCTTCTTCTTCCTCTTCTTCTCCTCCGTCGGCCTTCCTCCGTGGTGTGGCTGCTGGGCCAAAATACAAAGAGAAGAGGGAGGTTTGTGAGTGTGTTGATGGTGTTGGGTTTACAAATGGTGAAGGAAATGGAATGGAAAGGAGTGGGTTTATAATGAAGCAAAATGAATGGAGAATTAAAGGGAGGAGTAATGGAAATTAAAATGGGAGAATGAATGGTGATGAGTGGGTGTGTGGCATGTGAATTAATATTGGGGAGTTACCTCCCTAAACCCATTCTATTGTGTAAATTCTGACCTGGACGGTACGCGTTTTTCCCTCGAACTTGCCCGAATTGAAAACCGATTGCGTTTTCGAGAATAATTAGTCAAAACTAAATTTATAATATCTTTGAAATATTTTTCTCAAAACTTTGTTTTCAAACTTCCGGATCCATCCCAATCATTAATTTATTTATTTAATTAATTAATGTTGAGAGGCCCGTTATTAAAATACATTAACTTTGGATGTTCATTTAAAGAGATCGAAATCTCAATATTTATTATTTAAAATAATGAGTCTCAATAAATAAATAATATTTATTTATTCAAAATATTAGCTAAATACTAGGCCGGTTTGTGGGGCGTTACATACACACCCTCTAGAGGATTCTTACCTACCAAAGACTATTCCATATCATATGCACTATGTTGTCAATATATAAACCTTTGTCACATGTAAGTGTCTTTTAAGCACTTTAAACATAACAACATTAAGATTTTCTATTGGCCCATATCATCAAATCATCATGTGTCATCCTTGAAACAGGAATGACATGAATAAACTATCGATCTCGGGTCTTGAACACATCATAAATCTTTTTCTATCCCAACCTCTATTAATGATAAAGTCTAAGACGGTATGGTTATTATCACATGGCCCCGGATTGTGTGTCATCACCCAAGGGTGATCCTTATCGCCTAACCAAGTTTCCTCCCAAATGCAAAGACTAGCTAACACCCACACCAACCATCTACAAGTCCTCCCTTGAACCACATCTTAGGACTTAAAAATACTTTTCCAAACATAACTAAGGCTAGATTTAATTCTCACCTCAAAAGAACTGGTTTGATGAATATATTTAGCTTCAAACACCTGTAAAATAATAAGTTTAAGTTGATGGACAAATTTCTAAGCCATCTTACAACCTATTTCAAGATTGAACTCTTAGATTTTCTTGAATTTTAAGGCCCCTAAAAATTTTTGATAGCTCAAGCTATCCCAACTGACTATATGAATAGTTTGTGTTGATGGTGTACCTTTGATCCACCAAATTTTAGTCATCAACATACCTAAATCAATACATAGTAGTTCCAGCAATCTGACCAAATAATTAGATGATATTTTAAATAAATAAATTATATTTACTTATTGAGGTTTAATTATCTTAAATAATTAAATATTAAGGCAAAGTACTATCTAACTGTAGATTTTCTCAAGGCACATGTTGGAATCAATTCGAGCTCTACTTGGTGGTCGTTGGTTAAGGAAAGGAAGTGATAAAACGGGGATGTATTAGGAGGACCGGAGATGGTAGGAATACGATCGAAAGAACACCTTGGTTGCTACGGGACGACCCTTACATACGGAGCACTCTTTCGGAAGAAGCGTGGAGGTGGCCAGTTGCAAAGTTTATAGATCCGGCTACATGTACACGAGATAGGGACTTGCTACAAACTACATTTATGCAAGAGGAAGTTGATGAGATTTGCAGAATACCGATAAGCTTTACATGTAGGCCGAATAGCTGGATGTGGAGGGGAGACCCTACGGCATTTACACT